GAGCCAGTTCCTCAGAGCTCCACCTACCAGCCAACTCCTAAGCCCGTCGAGGCGAAGAAGGAGGCGCCAGTTCCTGAGACAACAACCTACGATGCAACCCCCATGCCCGTCTACTAGGCGGAGACCTGCATCCTGTCCATGCACTCCCCTCAGGCTGACCACCACCGCCATCCTGACCCGCTAGCGGCACACACACACACCCATTCGCCGCACCGCATGGCTACCAAGACTAGCTCCCCCCAGACTCCTTCCTGCTCTGGATTGGTGACGATGAAATTAGGAGGGTTTGTCAGATAGAATCTGACCCTTCCGCGTAATAAGAGGTTTCTTTTCACATTCATATATAATAATTCTTTTTGAAAATATCTTTGCTCGCCTCTGAGCGTTTCTGTGTCCGTGCCTCTTCGTCTCTCAGTGCCTCCCTCTGTGATGATAATACTGCGGTGGTATCGAACACCCGACCCCTCTGATAAAATCTCTCATCCGCTCTATGCTAGTTCCTCCTTGACCCACTCGCAAACCCTCTCCAACCCAACACTATGTCTTGTCATTCTTCTACTTTCCTCTCTCCCATTTCCCCCCCCCCCCCCCCTTTCCTTCCTCTCCATCTCCCTCCTCCCCTCCTCCCATCCTCTTCCCCCCTCTACCCCCCCCTTCCCACCATCCCGCCCTCCAACCTCCAACCTCCAACCTCCAACCTCCAACCTCCAACCCAAAGCCAAAAACTCCGAACCAACAAACCAAAACATCAAACATCAAACATACATACGGAGGCGCGGGGGGGGGGTGGGCTAAGTTAAGCCACACCCCCCTCCACCGCACCCCACCGCCTGCACCCGTGCTCTCCCTCACATGGCGGCAGAATTTCTCTCACCACCAAAAGATGCTCTCGAAGGCGGTGAACACCTAACTTACGCTCTCCTTCGCTTCCTGACTGACTGACTGACTGTACAGCTGGGAAACTAGGTAGGTACTACGTAGGTAGCTCACCTCGCTCCCTTGACTTTCTTTACGGACTAGCTGCTCGTTAGGACCTTGGCACAGGACGTCGCGTGTGGTGTGGTGTGGTGTGGTATGGTATGGTGTGTGTTACAGTTACACCCTGGGGGCAAGCACGGTCGGTACCTACGTAGGCCTAGGGTAGGGTAAATACCTACCTAGGTACCTAGGCTAAGTAAGGTAAGGTAAGCACCGAGGCTAAGCAGGAGGTTCTGAGCTCGAGATTTATTTATATATATATATATAGTATATATATCTAAACTCTAGAGACTCCTGTAGGCTGTACTGTATGTATGTACCTATGTACTATGTAGTACTACTATGTAGCGATTCGGCGAGCGAGGGGGCGGAGAGGGGGGGTGGTGGGAAGGGGAAGTAAGTACGTACTACGTACCACGGTACAGGGCGTAAGTAAGTAAGTAAGTAAGTATTACCCTTCGAGGGTAGGGTCAGCAGGGGGGTTGGTACTAGTTAGTAGTACCTAGTAGTGGGAAGTAGACTTTTGAGGCGGTGGTAGTAGGGCTTAGTTTTGGCTTAGGCCTGGGACGTAGTATGTAGTATGTAGTATGTAGTATTTGGATACACGGAGGGAGTATGGTGGGATGAGGATGAGGATGGGGATGAGGATGAGGATGGGGATGGTTTTAGCTGTGAGAGAGAGAGAGAGAGAGATGCCTTTGAGGGTGAGGTAAGGTAGGGTAGGTAAGGCCAGGTAAGGCAGGTAAGGTACAGGAAGTAGGGGTTCATTCATCCATCTCCTGTACAGTAAACAGTAAACGGTAAACAGTAACAGTAAACAGTAACAGTAACAGGTCAGCTGATCATCATCCGAAGGCCGATCTCTCTCTCTCGGGTCTCGTCACACAGAGATTGATTGATTGATTGATTGATTGATTGATTGATTGACACACACACACACAGCCTTTACGTGGCGGATCACCCCAGGTCTCTCTACTTACTTACTTACTGTACAGTAGCAGTAGCAGAAGCAGTAGCCGAAGCCGAAGCCGAACTGAAAACCACACTTGCCATCCAGCCGATCGTCTGTGAGAGCCATCTGACGCGTGGCAGAGAAAAAGAACCGGGAACCAATCTGCGCGATTGGAAATCGTCGTCGTCGTTTCTGAATGTCGGTCTCTCTCCTCTTTTTTTTTTTCTTTTTTTTCTTTTTTTTTCTTTTTTTCTTCTTTTTCTTTTCTTTC